TTACATTTTACGGCGAAATGTAGAGACACTTTTTTTTTGTTTTTATGTAGAGACACACTTTTTACGAGTTTTTCGACATCGCTCGACTTAAATAGACACTTGGATACAGCGTCATGAATTATGATATTATATTACTGATGGAATACAAATAACAAATACACAGTATCTCCCAATTGATGGCCTATTCATTCCAGGTTATTAGAATACCCGTGCTGAGCAGAAAAAAGCGTTGTGATAGAAATAAAACGAGAATCTGTTAAAATTGCCAATATTGTAACTATCTTAACATATATGGATCTAGAGATATCTCGGCTTCCTGACGTATGATAGTTGGAAAATTTTCACCACATACTAAGTAAATGATGCTGAATAAGATGCACATCTTAAATCTCTGCTCAATACACTTTTATTTTTTTTGCCAATTGTACAACAAAAATACGATTCGCTCATATATATAAATATACGATAAAAAATAATAATTTAATAAACATCAATTATAAAATAGTTCGTTATTATCATATCATCATGAATTTGAAAAAACTCATAAAATAATCTCTCGTTCGTTTGTCACAAATAGACAGAATAGATTTAATAGTATAATATTTTATTAATTATAGATTATATCAATAATCAAAATAATTTTTTCATACTTTTTATTAAAAAAATAAAACCAAAAACAAAAAATTGATTGGATTATCAACATGAAAAATAAATAAGATTTATTTTTGTAAGATCTAAGAGATTTCTCTGTTATAAACATAATAATATGCAAATCATCAACAACTACACTAAATGAGATATTCTAAGAATTGTCTTATATTATCCATTAGTTCATAACTTATTTCAATTTAATAAGAAATTTTTAATGATAATTCATTAGTATTTTCGAATAAAATCAATAAAATAGAAAGCTTTTCTTATATTTTCTTATGAAATTATTCGAAAATCTCAGTGAAAAATTGTTGGAAATGATATTTATATATTTAGAAAGAGACCTCAAATAATAATCAATATTTGTTTCTATAATTCGAACATAAAATAGATTTAGCCAAAATTAAATAAATTTATTGAAGATCTCCTGAATTAGATAAAAGGTAAATATAGTTAAATACAATAATTATTTAAAGTGGCAAGAGTACATGAATTTCAATTGATTCGATGTTTCGATTTCCTATGAGATCATTTTCAAGAATAACATAAAACTGTGACATTGATATTGAATGTTACTGAGAAGATGTTGGTTATTTCGTCCAATTCTTCTTAGTTTTGCTCTTGGTATGATGTTCGGGATGTTTGTGATTAGGAAGAGTGAGTTGTTATATTTGTGTTGCTACTCAGTCTTTTAGAAGTATATTAATTTTTATTACTGGATTTAAATGTTTATGAGTCATCGTTTTCGAGTCTTTGCTGCTGTGCTGCAGTCTTGGGTTGTTTTTTTCTTCTCGTTGTTCTCTCGGTCTGTTCCGTATTGTTTTCGTTCTATTCTGTGTTTTTTGGGGCGTGCACTCTAGACGATAGTGATGACTGTCGGCATTATTCTGTTCTCATGATTATGTATCATATTCTGTATATTTTGAGGCATGTGTTTGTGTTGTTTGGTTTTTTTTTTGTCTGGTTTTACGCCGTTTGAACATTTATGTTTAAATGTTTTTTTTTCAGATTTTATTGTTTGGAAGTTAGTATTCACTTATCGTTAATAAAATAATATGTTCTTCGGGGCTGTTTGACTGTGTATGTATGCTTTGAAATGTTTACCATTATCAGCAAGAAATGCGTATAATTATCTTTGGCGTCATTGTGGAGCAGCTACCAGTAAGCTGTTTGGTGAGTTGATGAAAGAACGGCTTCGACTGTGCAGGTTAAAAAGCGCAGTTGGATTCATTCGTATCTGCAAAAAGGAAAACTTGATACCTAGTTTCGCCCGATTTCGTCTCGCAAATCCTTATATTGCTGATGCTAAATTAGTTCAGAAGTGTGCTCATCATATTCTCCAAGCGGAGATGAAGTTTAAACATCGTCTTTTGAGACAAACCTCAAGACATTTAAGTCGATTAGAAGCGGAGCTGAAGGAAACTGTGTCTCGTATTGTTTATATTCGTTTAGAATCTATCGCAGAACAAAATTGTGAATAGAAGAATGAGACAGATTGCAGAAACTCACCAGAAGAAGCTTGGCGTTTTACGGACTAATAAAATAAAGCATGTCTCAAAGCGAAACATTCTTGATCCGGTCACAAATCTTTCCAAATATTCTCTAACGGAGAAAGAGCACAGCGCGCTCATTAATGGATTGGATCACGTCTATCCACCTGTAAAATTTGATCAACCACAATTTGTTTGCAATATGGAATATTTTTATGCTCGTCTTCTAAATATTCGAACCGCGTATAGGCATTACGAACAGAAAGCAGCTACTGAGGTTGTTCATCACCAACTAATATCATTACAACTAAGTACCGCATGTGAGTTACGTGAAATCGAAATTCTTTTCGGAAAGTGGCTCAGGCTAAGCTGAAGAAAGCTGGTGTAGAACATCGTAAAACGTTTAGCATTCTACGTTCTCTTGTGAAAAATAAATCAATTATTATTACTCGACCTGATAAGGGACGCGGTGTGGTTATCATGGACCGAGCAGATTATGTACAAAAAATGAATACAATACTTGATGATCGTTCTACTTTCTCCTTAATTCATTCTGATCCAACGTTAGAGAATGAAAATGAATTAGGTACGTTTCTGCTTCTATTGAAAAAAGAAGGTTTTATAAGTGATAACGAATACAATTTAGCACGCCCTACTGGTTCAAGACCAGCTCGAATATACGGTCTCCCTAAATTGCACAAAAAGAAAGAAAATTATCCTCTTCGACCTGTTATGTCAGCTACAAAGACGGTAGCCTATGGACTAGGGAAAATGTTAACTAAACGTTTGAATCAACTTCGAACCAGTCGGTATACAGTTAAAGACTCACTTAATTTTGTTAAAAAGATCAGAGCATCAGAACTTGTGGCTAAAACAATGGTCCCTTTCGACGTTAAGAATCTCTTTACTAATGTTCCACTTACATATGCTATAGACTTAATACTTGACAAAATGTATCCTACATGTCATTCGGTTTGTCAATATAAACAAAGGAGTCGTCTTTGTGTCGAATGTAGAAAAAGAAAGGATTTTGAAAACCTTCTACGAATAGCTACATCTAAAACTCATTTTATCTTCGAGAAAAAAATGTATGTTCAACACAACGGCGTCGCAATGGGTGCTCCTTTGGCACCTATTGTTGCCGATATATTCATGTCCCATCTCGAGTCTTTAATGGATCGTTTGATACAAAGTGGTGTTCGTGAATGGTATCGATATGTCGATGACACATTCGTACTTATGAAGCCTAGTGCTACGATAGAAAGTGTACTTGACATTCTCAATAGCTTTCATCCATCGATCGAGATCACTCATGCAGTAGAAAAAGATCAGTCGCTTCCTATTCTCAATGTGCGTGTTACCCGATCAACTGAAAAAAATACGTTTGAAACAACTATTCATCAAAAAGATACGTTCACCGGACTGATGATAAAATGGGATTCATTTGTACCTATCGAGTATAAAAAGGCTACCATCGTTAGTAGGGTACAAAAATCTCTAGATATATGCTCAACATACTCGTCGTTAGCTATTGAATTCGATAATATTCGTGAAATTGGTCTAAAAAATAGTTATCCGTTACCGTTCATTAACACTCGAATCGGTATAGGATTAAGTAATTACTTAAAGAGATCGACAGTACTAGATATTGCAGTCATTGGATGCGAGAAACAACGCATGTACGTTAAAATACCCTACACTGGGAAAGCTTCCTATCTATTCAAAAAACAATTATCTCATATCTCGAGCAAGCTACGTCCTGATCTTGATGTTCGTTTCTTCACTAAAGACCCTGTGCCAAAACACTTACGAGCAGATATCGTATATTCCGTTAAGTGTAGCGACTGCGGGGCTACATATGTCGGCAAAACTCAGAGACAAGGAATAAGACGTCTATGGGAACATGGCGCACCAAAATCTCTGTTCGAAGACCAACAGTTACTTTGTTTCGAAAATACCGGCAATAATCATTATCAAGGCACTAACGACGATAAAGATAACGCTACAGAAACAATTCCAAGGAAGCATCAACTATTGAAAATAAAGTCACGATATAGACCGTTGTCCTATCCTACTACCGAAGGCTTGAGACATTCTGCTCGCATTCGTAAAAAGCAACAAATGTCAAGGATCAATGACATCATCACCTTGGATTGAAATAACTACACAAACAAAAAAGAGTACGACAACGAAAGCGACAGAGTATGCTCGAACACGTCTGTTTCTCGCCATCAACAACAAACCGGACATCATATGGACTGGAAGGGCTTTAATGCAGTATGGCAAGAAAGTCATCACTACAAACTTTTAATAAAAGAGACCTTAGTAATCAAAGTTTACGATACACCACTAAATAAGACAACACATTCTGCTCCGATGATCGTATTTTCGGAAGGTTTACCCCGAGAATTAGTACCTGATCCGAATCGTACACGACAGAGATGGAACCGGTAGGGTTTTTTCCTTACCAGTACCGGTACCGGTCTAAAGGGTCAGACCGGACTGGACCGGCCGGTAGACCGGCACAGTTTTTTTTACCAGCTTGTCATTCAATATATATCAAAGCATTCGATCCATTCATGTTCTTTTTTTCATAATTACTCTAGGATAGGATCAATTATTATGTTTTTATTGCTAAATCACATCTTTTCAATGTATTGCGGTCATTTTTTCTTTCCATCAACAAAAAAGACTAAATTTTCAAGTAACACAAAAAAAATATAAAACAAGGTAAAATTTTCTCAATCAGCCATATTCGTAATAGATTATGGTTGTTGTTCTTGATCATCGCGATTTACAAGCGCAGCACTAGTATTACATTTAGGCCACATTTTATTTACATATGCTTCACGTAATACAATTGATGATCCCACTGAACTCTCGCTCAAGCAACCTCTTTTCTCATTAACAATAACTCCACCGGCTGAAAAATGTCTTTCTGATTCAGCTGATGAAGCTTGTATAACTAAAATACGTTCAGCAATTATCGATAAAACTGGTAATCGTCTTTCATTATTTTTCCAAAATGTTAAAATCTGGTGTCGTTGATCACCATCATAGAGAATAAGGATAAGATCTGCATTAATTATTGGCACATACAATAGTCATTGTACAATTGAACATTTTCTATCAACCATTCAAATGACACTGTGAAACTTATTTATTGTTATTCTTCTTATATGTTACTCAATGATATCGCTAGAATGAATTCTAGAACATATGTTGTGTATATTGTTGAATATAGCCCCTTCACAAATAAGTTAAGCAGACACTCAATATTCACTTAGTAAACACAAATTGCATACTCATTGTATTCTTCTAATTATTCATTTGCTCTGCTTAAATATATGCGACAAATAGTAAAGAAATATGAATGAATCTATGGTAAACCACAAAGCTAAATAATTATTTGACATATTTTCGAGAACATGACATGATATCAAAGTGAGCTGATAAAATAGATAAAGTATACTACGATAAATTTGGATTTCAGAGAGTATTTTAACGCATGTTCGTCAACAGAAATAGCTTTCGACCTTAGTAAAAAGTGTCTGATTTACAGAAAAAAACACTTGTATGGTCATTTTTTTTGAAACAAAGATGAAAAAACTCAACAAAATCTAGACCGGCCGATCTGCCGGTCCGGTTCCAACTCTGGTACACAATACATTTCTACACATCATATGCAAATCAGAAGAATCCATTCTACAAACAAAAAAAAAATATAACACTCGCAACAACACATAATAATTATACCGTGACTCACACCAACAGAAAACCCACAATGTAACATATGCCCACATCATAAGCAAAATCATCGTTAACATAAAAAAACCTTAGATAACCCAAACCCAAACCAAAACATCATCCGTACAAGCAGTCATGAAATGCATAAAGTATAGCCACCACAAAATCACCCAACGCAAACCTAAAACGAACGCAACCTCCTCCGCCAATTCAGAAAAATGAGTACCACACCACCTTCATTAAAACAATTCCTCACACGCCATGCCATAAGCAAGACATACACAAGACGACCACAACAAAATGAAAAAACAAAAGAAAAATACACCATCACTACAGTCAAACAGATACAGTGGAACACTAGTCACGAGCCTCTATTACTTCAAAAAACAATCACTTACAAAATCTGCAACATCTCACACGATCAATCTAAATCAACGTCAACAACAGATATAAAGATTTCAAAACCCAGTCGAGACGATTCAAACGTAGATTCAATTCAATTCAATTATGTAGACTTATATACTCTTGCCACTTTGTTATTGTATTAAACTATATTTGCCTTTTATATAATTCAAGAAATTATATTTTCTCGTGGTATATCTGGGCCTCAATGATCTTTCTCGGTTGTGTTTATTATTGGTACATTTTATGTTATTCTTGAAAATGATCTCATAGAAGATCGAAACGTCGAATCAAATGAAATTCATGTACTCTTGTCACTTTAAATAATTATTGTATGAAATTATTGAAGATCAAACTTGGATTACAGTCTGTCCATGTAACGGTTCACTCTTCTGTAGAAATTAGAATCACAGAGTTAGTCAAAACAAATATGACCATCTTTTAGGGAAATATATATTTTATATCTATAGGTATGTCCATCTTCGAGAAAAAACGACTGTTAAAGAGATACCATAGTGAATCGATGAAGAGCAATAAGTATCATCATTTTTGTGTACTCAAAAAGTGAATACACTCTAGAATCGGTCAGTGTGTCCGTCCGGCCGTTAACACGATAACTTTTGAAAGGAGAGTCCAATAGCGATGAAATTTTCTACACAGTTCAGTCTTAACATTGTCTCGGTCGAGTTCGAAGATGAGCAGGATCCGTCAAGAAATGGCTGAGTTATCGAAAAAATTGTCATTATTGAGAAGATCATCCCTGAGGGGGAGTACAGGGATTTTTTCAAAAAAAAT